ATTCTCTCCTCTCTTTCTCTCTACATTGTTGTCTATCTTCTTGTTTTATATTATTACTTTGAGCTAAGTTTCGTAACACCTAAGGGTTTATTTTCTTAATAACAATTTCTACTACAGAAAAAGGGAAAAAAAAGAAAGAACCATGGCATATTTGGTTGGGATTTTTACCTTCCTATACCAAATATGAAACCTTATTGCCCTCAATGTTTAAGATTTGTGTTAATTACATTTTAGTATACCAAATTACCATTTATATATCATAATTCAAATTAGGGATATAATTAAGGGTGCATTTATTAATTACATTTTAGTATACCAAATTACCATTTATATATCATAATTCAAATTAGGGATATAATTAAGGGTGCATTTATATTACGCGCTATAATTAATGGTGCAAATATTTTCTGACCCTTCAGCCGTAACTTAAAAAAGTTATGAATTTCTTTCTTTGCTTCTTCTTCCTGTTTGTCGTGTCCGGCTAATGCAAATCACAGCAAATGAAACAAATTACCTAATTTTGCTTGCTTTCGCTGAGATTCAAATATTGGTATTCGAAGTTTTTGTGTATTTTATTTTTTATAATGATGGTAAGTTATACCTTTGAATGAGAATGACTTCATCACAGGTCTGTGCATTCTATAGTTTTGTCTTCTACTTCCAAGAACTGCACTCAGATCTATAGTTAATTTTCATAAAAAAAACATACCTTCTTTTGTAGATAAATTGTAGATAAATTAGAAAAATTTTAGATAAATTGGGGACTGTTTTTTGCAGAAGATTTTGTAGAAGCTTTAGTCGTTTTGGATTTGTGAAAACAGAAAACAATGCATCTACAATCAGAATACAAATAATCTACAATTTATCTACAAGATATCTACAAACTGGATACATTGAATTTTAATATCCCAATTCCCATTTCAATTGTAGCATTATTGGCATTTTTGACATAATTGTAGAAGATTTATAGAAGTTTTAGTCTTCCCAATCTACAATTTATCTACAATTTATCTACAATTTATGGAAATATGTCTTCTTCTTCTTCTTCTTCTTCTTCGAGTTTCAATCTGAAATTCAGTCAAAACCAAGTCTAATCTTCACCAAAACCCCTCAAAATTGAGATATAAACTCCAAACCATATTCCCGATTATTTTCAACAACACCCAATCCAAACAAATAATGATTTTTAAAAACCCAAATTTGAATTCAAAGCTTTCAAGCTTTTTAATGGATATCAATGATGGAAAATATATGGAAGAACAGATGAAGATGAAGATGAAGAACAGAAATCTCCTTTCCGTTTCAAAATTACGCAGCTTCGAGATTTCGTTTCCGTTTCAAATTTTGAATTTAATGTGGAATAAATCAATCCCAGATTCTGTGGCTGATTTTTCGCGCGCTAAAAATGGCAGATTCTGCCTAAATAACGAATGGTATATAAATTGTAGATAAACTGTGGACTGGGCGGGTAATATACATACTATGCACATATTTGGTAATAAGATTTCATATATGGTATAGTTAGGAAAAAATCCATATTTGGTGTTTGCATAATCGAAATATTCCCAGTGAATACTCACAAAAAGAAAATGGGCTTAAACAGTAGCCCAGTCCCGTCCCAACTAAAAACTCAACTAGCTAGTTAGTTTCTCCCTCACCGGCAATGGAAAGAAACTTTCTTTAGTTTATCTATCGAAACCCTAACAACTAAGTTCGTCCCTTCCGGGACATCCGATAAAATTGGAACGATACAGAGAAGATTAGCATGGCCCCTGCGCAAGGATGACACGCACAAATCGAGAAATGGTCCAAATTTTTTTTACACGCCATTTTCGTGGATTTTGCTTTTTTATTCAGCTGAAATCTCTAACCTGAGGTCAGTTTCCATTTTCTGTAAATGTGTACGTCAAAAGCTTATTGCTTTAGAAATATTAATTAGAGTGTTGTGATATTTCAGTGCATTACAAATATTGTATTGAGCAACCTTTTGGTCCTGGAAGATTTAGGTCAAATAGAATTATGGCAAAGGTATTATCTTTTTCAGATTATATGCCAATTTACATGGCAAATACTTTCTGAAATTGGGTAAATTAGTATTTTGAACTTATAATTTGACAATTAATCAGAAGAATGTATTCAATTTTGATGAACATTTGTGTAGTTTGGTGTTGGAAATTAAAGCATTTAAACTTTCTGTTTAATTTCACATTTCAATTGCTTGCTTAAGTTTAGGCAACTTGCATACAAATGGGAAAGAGGAAAGGAATATACTAAGCATATGCTTTGGGTTCTACATTGAACAACCTATATCAAATTGATATACATGGTTATGTAAATTGATTTGATTCCCCAAAAATACAGTAGAATGGGACTTATGCTTACCTAAATTCAGTTTAATTACTTGGAAAGGGCAGAATTAAGTGATTACAAAATGGGACTTAAGTATGCATAGGCTTTAGAGTCTTCATTTTGCCTTGATCTACCTATGTCAAATGGGCATGACATGGTTTTGAATACGCTGCGTCGTTCTCCGGAATTGGACAGAGATTCATGTGTTTTGCTATTTTTCTATTACATTGTGCAATTACATCCTGAAATAGCTGTCTGAAATTTGTTGTTTTTGTTAATCTTGATCTGTTGTGGTCGATGGATCATCACTTAGTGTTCTAGGTGGCGGCTTATATGGTAGTTTGAATTAGAAAGAAAGTGTCCTAATCAAATGAACTAAGTTTTTTCTGCCAAAAAGTTGACACTAGTATACCAACAGGAACATAGTTCTTGGAGTTTTCCTGTGATTTTAGTCTTTGCTTTGATAACTATCAAAGTATATACTCATAAGTCAATGTTGAATACTTGTGTAAGTTGTCAGTGGAGCAAACTGCTAGAAGATGCTACTTAGGGGTATAATCATTGCATTGTTCTCTCTACGCAGGGATTTGAAGTGCAAAATTGATTCTTGTGGGGATTGTTTTTTTTTTTTTTGGGGGGGGGGGGGGGGGGATGAAAGCAAAGCCTCATAGGGCTTGATTGTGTTGTCTAAAATCATTATAAATTGAGTCTAGAAAACTGATAAGCACTGAATGAGGATTTGGGATTTAGATGCTGGACTTTTTAAGGCATTCATTGATCAATCTCTTCTCTGAGTAAATTCCATTTAATAAAAGATCGGTATACCTCTTTGGTAGAAAAGGGCCTTTTTCTAGGATATGTCTCTACGTGTATGATTGTAGAGTTAAGTTGAGTGTCAAAATTTAGCATTTATAAATTTTTGAAAATTCATTTTGCTTGTTGGTTCCTTGTTAAGTCTTTTTTCTTCAGTTTTGCACTGTTTGAGAATTGGCAAGATATAATCAGAAAAGTACATCAAACAATAGATTACACGATTCCACAGGGTAAATTATTCGGATACTTAGGTTTCCCTGATTGCATGTGCTCTCACAAGAAAACTTCCAACCTTAACATTAGCGAAGAAAGGTAATAATCATTTAGAAAACCCTCACTATTTCTATGACACTTTGAGAATAAAGGATTTGGTGTGGTTTTTTAGGGAATAGAAATAAAGACAGATCTAGGATTTGAAACTTTAAGGGTTCAGGATGCCGCTGAACCCACCGACCATTTTAGCTATTCGAAATTCAATAATTTACATAATTAGTTGATTTCTCAACACATATACAGGGTCAGAATCAAAGCTTTTGCGTTCGGCCGAACCTGTGACTTCTAGTGTGCCTCCGCCATTGGACAAAAATTACATATTGTAATATTTGATGTCTTTCCTTTTGAAGTTGTGACCCACAATGTTTACTTTAGTATTGCACCCTTTTGTTGCCCAAAACTTGTTTGGGATTGAAACATTGTTCTTGTTGTTTAAATTGCATGTCAATTAGGCTTACTCTTCCAAGGGACTTAGTTTGCACTTTTTAGGAGCTTTCTTTTAGTAGTTTGAATGTTTATGGTGTCAGGAATCAGAATTGTCATTTGGGAAGTTAGAAATAAAGGTATTTCATTTTGCATCTGCTCTAGAAACTTCTTTGAAGGGTCATGCCAAAGTAGGGCGATTTATCCGGTGTTTTCAGCGACTAAGGAGCTTGCAGTACATCAATAATTAGATCAAGCAGCTTATATAGTATTTGAATGGTCATAGCTTTGGAACACTGTAGGGAGTCTTGGAGTAACTTGTAAAGTTGGTGCCATGTGAACCTCTTGTAGAAATGTAGGGTAAGACTGTGTACAATAGATCATTACGGTCTGGTCCTTCCCCGGACCCTGCGCATAGCGGGAGCTTAGTGCTCCCTCTTGTAGAAATGTAGGGTAAGATTGCGTACAATAGACCAGTACGGTCTGGCCCTTCCCCGGACCCTGCGCATAGCGGGAGCTTAGTGCTCCCTCTTGTAGAAATGTAGGGTAAGATTGCGTAGAATAGACCATTGCGGTCCGGCCCTTCTCCGGACCCTGCGCATAGCGGGAGCTTAGTGCACTGGGCTGCCCTTTTATAGCTCTGGAACACTATTTATTGACTACAGTCAAACCTCTCTATAACAGTCTCGTTTGTTCCAGCTATTTTTGGATATTATAGCGAATTGCTATTATAGAAAACATATATTATAACAGAACATAAAATTTGGTTCAGAAAAAACTTAGCTTTTATAGTGAAGTGTTGTTATATAAGAATGCTGTTATAGAGAGGTCTGACTGTATAAGTCTATAACTATTGCTAGTGCGGAATTTAGATATCTGTAGATAGTGAATTGAGGCTATGCTTCGACTACATATATCTTCATCCGGAACTCCTCATAAGCTGTTTCAGTTTGGCCAAATACATCGACAACCCCTTAAAGTTGTCCACCCTTTTCACTTAAACACTCAATTTTAAGTCTATTCCATTTGAACACTGTAATCATGCTTTTACTGTGTCATTTAGACACAAAATGCTGACATGGCAAGGTGAGTGTTTCTCACATTTTCCAAGTACGTAAAAATGGTTCGAAAGACAAACCTTTCATACTTGCCGGAAAATAATAGCTTTTGCCGGAAAACTTTTCATGAAATACATAGAATGACACCTGACCTTGTAGTCAAATCCCTCTTACACACCTGTTCATTATGAAAATAATTTCATACACTAAACCTTTTAGAAATGTGTCTATTACACACTATTTTAACTACGTGGCACCCGCGTGTTCTTCACATAACATAGGCGCGTGAATGCAAAAAGAAAAAAAAAGTCAAAAGCTTTACAAAAAAAAATTCATTTTTTCTCTTTTTACTGTTTCCATTTTACACCAATTTAAGAAAAAGAAAATAACCCCTCCCACTCTCGTCTTCTTCCCTGTTCCAAACAATCCTCCCCCCCCCCCGGCCAAAGCATCTCATTGTCTAACTCCACCTAATTGCATCAATTTAGCCATGAAATATATACAAAAAGGACATGCGAACATCCTCAACCACATACCACTACAAGAATTTGGATTTTTAGTGGCAACATATAGCGGCGACCCTATAGGTTGCTGCAACATTTATAGTATTAGCAGCGACTTTCAAGGTCGCTACAGAAGGTGAATATTTAGCAGCGACTTTTCTGAGGTCGCCTCTGATGCGGCTGAAATTTTCGGTCCCACTAAGAATAAAATTTTGGCTCCAAATTATTTGTGGCGACTTTTTATATATCGCCACTAAAGGTATTTTGCAGCGACTGCGTCGCTACTATACCCTAGAATTTTAATTTAAAATAACAAAACAAAATTAAAAAAGCCCCTTCTTTCTAATTAAAAGAAACGAACCCTTCAGACACAAAACCTCCTCTCTCTAGAAATCCCTCCCCCCTCTCTCTAAAATCGCATCTCTGCTAAAATTTCATGACCCAACTCTAAATCTCTCTAATCAAAATGTGAATGTCATTTATCAAGTATGTGTTCAAATCCCTAATCTTTTCCTTTTTCTTTTAGGAACGAAAATCTCATATAGCTGATGTTCAAATCCATATCGATTTTGTGGTGGAAGAATTGCACAACTGATTTCTCTCATATAGCTGCTAGTGACCCTAATCCTTTTCTTTTTTGTTTATACCCATACTAGTTTATATATAAATTTATGTTTGAATTTTTTTATAAGGATTCTTTAAGGCAAAATTTTCAACATGCAGTTAGGGATTATTGTTATTTCAGTAATTTTGCATTTGTATTCTTAGATTTCATCTCGAATTTCTCTGAACCATTTGATAATCTACAGGAATACAAAAAAAAGAGCCGCACAGGAAGACTCATTTGAGGTGTATTTGGTGTTGTTGTTGTTGTTGATTTTCAGTCTTGACGGAACTCGACTATCTTAGTTGGGTAAGTTAAAAACTTCTTGTTAAGAAACCTATTGTATGTTGGTATTCCATACTCGTAAGGGCTGGTGGAATCGCTACCATAATTTTCCTTCAGCAGTTGTATCCAATGTGTTTCTACTGTGGTGTATTCATTTTTGTTATGTAGATTTCTGAAATACATAGTGATCTCAGATTTGTATGAGAATAAAGACCATTTACAAACAAATAGAGTTAAATTATTTGATATTCTTTAGCACTGTATTTTTCTGTACCATCACCATGTAACCACTTTCTACATTGTAAAAAAGATTCTGTGTTTTTCCAGCTTTTATAGTATATTCGATAATTCATGTCCTTCCCTTGCACCTTGTTATATTCTGTGAAATATTTGCTTCTTTAGAGCAATTTCTAGCATTTTGTGAGCTCAACAATGACATGAAGATATGAGATTTACTACTTGCTTCTGTCCATATTGTCAATGTTGGAAAAAGTAAACTAGATTCATCCAATTTACCTAGTTCATGTATTAGGATTAGCTAAGATGCACGTTTGAAAGACATGTTTCCCTGTATGTATCAGATTGCTCTAAAGTTTCATGTAATTTTTGTCCTAATTAGACTGAATGAAATTAATTCGAAATGTTTGAAGCTTTAATTTCATAACAGAATCAGTGGTGAAGTAAAATTAGTGCTTTATTCCAACATTTCATCTATTAATTGATTTTAATTCTCTGCTATTTGAATTAATATTTTCTCTAGTCTGATTATCATTTTCTTTTGATATGATGTTGTAGGAAATGAAAGGAACTGGACGAGGAAAAAGTGGGAGAGGCGGGACGAGCTGTGGTCGTGGAAGTTTTCAAGGACTTGGCAATTTTGGAGCGACGTCTCATGAGAAGCACTATCTTGTTCCAAGATGGAAATTGGCAAAAAATAGTTTTGAAACACGGAGAAGCAATGTGGTTAAAGGTCAAGGTAACAAATTAATTTCATAAGATGTTATACTTCATGTTGCTCCCTGCTTTTGCACAAATTTAAGATGTTACAATACATGTTCCTCTTGGTAGCTTTTCATCTTCATTTGAATTCAACCTCTCCTTCTTGGCTATTTCATTTTCTTGTGAGCTTTCCCGTCGAGAACTCATTATTATTTATCTGATGGATCGTTTTGTTGTTCGTGGTTGCGATCATAATCCTCAAATTTGAGATGACTTAGCTAAGTTCTTGAATTTTGTTCTCCATTTTATCCTTCTACATCTCTGTAAATGTGTGAGTATCTTGATTCAGTTATTTATTCTGATGTGTTATTATGGTTCCAGGATCAGGGTGTGGTGGAGGTATTATTGAGATAGTTGCTTCTGAGGCCAAAACTTCCTTTCTTATCCTCTGTATCTTTTAAGAAAAGAGCTCTTCGATGTGGATTTTAAGTTGCAAGCAAGGAACCTGTTTCGGTAGATTTTCCTTTTGCTGGTCCACTGTTGGCTTGTTGTTTGTAGTTCATATTTTGCTTGATTTTCCCACAAGATTGGTATGGTATTTGTTGTCAATCTCTGCTTGAACAGTGTGATGTGAGGTTCTGGAACCTTTACATGTACTACCTCATGAAATTCCCACAATTTCGAGGAAAATGTTTGCTTCTTTAGAGCAATTTCTAGCATTTTGTGAGCTCAACAATGACATGAATGAGGTGTACTACTTGCTTCTGTCCATATTGTCAATGTTGGAATGGGCAGTAGTGTCTTCAGTGTTAGATAAGGCTTCAATATTGTATTGACTTTAAGTTTCAAGGTTTATTTATGTGGTTAGGATATCGAATATAATATTACATTTATTGGCAGGATAAATTTAAAGTTTACAGCGGGCTGCAAGAGCATAGGTTTCAAGCCTTTGTAATTAGCACTATGCAAAGGCTTTTTAGAGCATGGAAAGCTCGATTCAGCAGGCTGTACTCTAAGTACAATACTAATGAAGAAAGATTGTCTCATCGACCTGAAGATGTTGAGCTTAAGGACTGGAAATACCTAATAAATATATTAGAAGTCAGGATTTTAAGGTACTAACTTAATACCTGAAGATTCTGCCAGCCAAAGGGCACCATTCACATCTTTGAAAGGTGATTTATTAATCTGTTGACTTACAGGCTGTAAGTGAGAGAAACAAAAGAAATAGAGAAAAGTAAATAACTAAGCATACTTGTGGTGCAAGGTCTTTTGCAGAAGTAGAGGAAACTACGGTAAAAATATATTTAGTCTACCACATATACTTCTTTGTTATTTACATATTTATATATTTGCTTTTTTTTTTTCCTGAAATTATATTGCAGAGAAATCCTATTACCGGAAAAATAGACACACCGAATAAAGTTTGGGAGATCCAACATACGCACAAGGATGATAGAGGAGAACTGGTGTGGGTGGATTCACAATCCCAACAAATTCATGTAATTATCTAAAATCATAGACTTATTATATTTTCTGTAAGTTACATTTAGTGTTTTTTATTATATTTTGATGTAAATGATTATGCATAAATGCAGGGTCAACTCCAAGAAGTTGTCGCTCAGCAACAATCTAAAGAGATCGAGCATCCCATGACTAGAGATGAGATTTTATCCACCGTTCTTGGTGAGAGAACAGGCTATGTTCGCGGAAAAGGATACGGAAAGAAGCCTCCTAAAAAGAGTAACACACAGCAAGCAAACATAGAGTCCAGCGTGTCTTCCGCTATAAAAATTGTGCATCAAAAGATGCAAGCCGAGATGGATAGGAAGTTGCAAGAAGAACGTGAACAAATGGCTGCTGAGTTGAAAAGAAATATGGAGCTTGAGTTGCAAAGGCAGTTGGCAGAGGAGCGTGAACTCGCAAATGCAAAAGTAGGCAAGAGGATCCATCTAGAAGTGGACAAGAGGATGCATGAACAATTTGCTAGTTTCGTGATCAGAATGCAACAACAGGTACTTGCTCCGCTGCTTCTTAACAATTCTTCTTCCTTCTCGGCATTTTTTCTTCCTTCATTATGGACAATTCTTCTGTCACTTGATCCCTACCTTCTTCTCAACTTCTCCTTCTTTAACTTTCATCCTCTTGGTAATAGACTATTGGGTTGTTTTTTGTTTATGTGAAAACTGGATTTTTCGATGGCATGTGTAGTGTTTAAAAAAGGCTTGAGGGGGCTGCTGCTGCTGTTTCTTTTCAAACCTTAAATAACCTTAGTATTCTAAAATAGGACTATAGCTTTAATATCTACTGTAGCTGCTTTAGGCGTTGCTGCTGCTCTTTCCTGGAAAGATTCAGCATATCATCTGTAACAGTAACATGTGCATTAAAGCGAGTCTTTCTCAATATCATTAAAATCAGTTGTGTAAAATCTTGGTGTCAAAAGGGACTCTTTAATTCATTGTTTCTGAGCTTTCTTGGTTGGTTTTGAAGTTGGTGGAGTTGTGGTAGCTGACATTTTCACCGTGAACGCCAGTCTGCGATTGCTCAGCCATGAACTGGTGGTGGTGTTAAAGGGTGTTTCTTGTTTTATGATGTCATCATTTATATAAGATATATAAAGAGAGAACAGCAGAAGAACTTTTTGGCTAAATCTCGAGAATAGCACTCCAATAGGTTTTGCTTAAGGTTGAATGGTCCCTCACCAACTCCACTTCTATTCCCATGCTCCTCTCTTGCACTAACTTCAAAGCAAAAGAAATCACTATTTCTTTACAATGTATTGACATTTCAAAAATTTGTTGTAGTCTTGTGGAGAACTTAATATTCTAGTTCAACAGGCTTGAAAGTGTCGATTAGTTGCTGTGAAGTTTGTTTGGTTATTCCTGCTTTCAGTTTCAATTTCCTCCACCCACAAACTGTTACCTCTGACATGATGTGGGGTTGTTACATTTTGATACTTGTTAAAGACAGTGATATTTGGTGGCAGAAGCTACAAAAATGTTGAACTGTTGAAATGGCCTAATTTAAACTTAGTAGACCCCTTTTTGTTATCCTTGAAGTTTTTCTATGTATGTTTTTTGATATAAAAATCTCATTATGTTCCTTATATATATGTATTGTATTTTTTAGCAGGGACAAGTCACTTAAACAATGGTATCGTTCAAGGATGGTGTCGACCAAGGAGCAATTACAAGACACTTAATATTTTGTCTTTTTTGGGATATGTATATGTGTACAATTACTATGCACAATGAAGTGTCGTGTAGTATTATGTAATTGACTTTTTAGTAATGAAAATATTTATAATATTCAGTTTGAGAAATTCTTTTGGTGTTTTTTAAATATTATTGGTTGCTTTTAATATTGGTAGTCAACTTATGTGAATATCCAGTCATTAAATTTAGAGAATTAGGTTCCCATCGGAAATATATATAATTTTGGTCATTATAGCTTTTGAGAAGATAGGTTTTAGTGGCGACATTATTTTGTCACAAAATATTAGTAATTGTTCCGATGTTCAAATTGCCAATAACAATTCTTTTGCAGCGACTTTAGTCGCTACTGAAAGTTATTGTGTCTTTTGTTGGTTTATTATTTTGTAGCGTCGCTACTAACAGTCATTTATAGTGGCGATATGAACTTGCCACTGAAAAAATGTTTTGGCAGCGACAATAGTCGCCGCTAAAAGTTATTAACAGTGGCGACCCAGTTAAATTTTTATTCTCGTGGAACCATTTTTGTAGCGAGTTTCGTCAACTTTTGTGGCAACTATGTCGCCGCAAAATCTGAGCTTTTAGCGGCGACCTTTTGGTGTCGCCACAAATACCTTTCAGTTACGGTTTTCCTTGTGGCAACCCAAATGTCGCCACTGATAACATGTAGCAGCGACTTTCGTGGATTTTGTAGCGACTTTGGTCGCCGCAATAAGGCTGATTTCTTGTAGTGTACACACAACTCGCCAGAGCCCGCCCTACAACTAACCTCCTAGCCCCTCTCATCTTCCATTGTCGAAGTAATGCAGCAGCCATATCCAACTGGGTTTTTCGAAAATTATTTATTTGTGCTAGATTTAAAAGTTTATCACGGGTTTTGCGAAGGCTAGGTGGAAAACTCAGAAATCACCATTGTTGAGCTATTGAAAAAGCTTGAAAATTCAACTGGATCTTGTTAATTTTGGATTGTCGAACTGAACTTGTAACTCGATTTTGATTGACTAGCTAGGTTACTTGGTAATTTCTTCCAATTTGTGGCAGAGTGTTGGGAAATCGAATTAAGACGCTATTTGATAATTTCTTCCCATTTGTAACTAGTAATTACAAGTGTTTGAAAAGTTCTTTTTTTTTGGTCTATTGATTCTAAGTTTTTTTTTTGGCTCTCGCCGGAAATCTTTCTCGCGAAAGTTTTTTAAAGTTAATGACACATGTCACGAGCATATTGGTGCGTGATGCACACACATTTGTGAAACTGGTCAAGCACGAAAGTGGTGTGTAATCGATACATTTTTGAAAGTTTTGGTGTGTAAAAATATTTTCATGTTTAACAAGTGTGTAACAGGGATTTGGGGAAAAGTTCAGGTGGTATTTTATGTATTTTGCCTAAATATTTCTTTTAAATTTTTAGATCTTTCACACCATTAATATCATTTCCTCCTCCAAATCTAAGCACACTACCACCACCGCCACTTTTAAATTTGGCTACCACCATAAATTTTTTATTTTTGTTTCTCGCTTTTAAGATCCCATAAAAAACACCTTTAGATCTGAAAGTTTTGTGGGGAGTCCAAATGGGTTGCAGTTTGTCGGTACCAATTATTCCGGCAAGGCAATGCCGGATGGCGTACAGGATTAGTCCAAATTTGAAAGCTACAAAGTTTCGTCAGAGGATTTGATACCGACAGGTGGTTACACCTCTCTGCCATGCCATCTCCATTACAACAGTTAATTTGCCAACATGTGGTTACCCCTTTCTTCTTTCTTTTAATTTGCCGAGGTGACGATTTTTAGGTTAAAGCTTAACGATAAATTTGGGAGCCCCTTTCTTTTTGCCAACAGGTGGTTACCCATTACAACCCCTTTCTTATTGTTAAGAAATTTGGGGAAGATTAGCTGTTGGGGAAGATGACGATTGCAAAATACAAAAGGTGTGCAAATTAGCTGTTGGGGAAGATGACGATGGGAAGAAGAGGAGACCAAATTTTTGGAGAAGAAGACAGAGCTGGAAAAGAAATAGCCGAAAATTAATTTTCCGACGAGGAGGGGTAGTTGGGAAGATGACGATGGGGTGGGGTTCTGGTTTGTGTATTTATTTATTTATTAATTTTTAAAAGTTAAATCCACGTGTCCTCGTTTTATTCGTCACTTTGGTGTGTGAATTACACGCACCTTTTGTATTTTGATGCCTACGAATTTTGTGTCGAAATGACACAGTAAAAACCTGATTAAAGTATTCAAATGCAACAGATTTAAGATTGAGTGTTTAAGTAAAAAGGGTGGACAACTTTAAGGGGCTGGCTATATATTTGGCCTTCAGTTTTTGTTGAAGTCACTACTTGCTTTTACCCTTAGTATGAATGTGTTATTGAAGCATGACAGATATTAAGTGGTTCACTCCTTCACTTTCTCTTGGAAATGCTTTACTGTTTTTACTTTCATGTTTTGCATTTGTCTCTGATACTACTTTCTTCCAACCACAATACATGCATTCAACATGACAAATCATGGTGTTTGGAGCACATGGTTTGAACATTTTGTATCCCTTTAATGATAGAATTATTTTGAGCAATCAGAAAATATATAGGAGTTTGACCGGACAATATTATGGCAAGAAGTAAAATAAACATGTGAACATCCAACTAATTTGTGTTTATTAAGGGGAGTAACAAAGTGTAAAAATGCAATAGGAGTGTAGCTTTTCATTTTCTTTATAAAGACAATTTAAATGTTTTTTTATCAGTACAGAATGCAAGAACTTAATTTCTTTTTAAAAAAAAAATTATAAGATGTCTTTTTTTGATTTCCCACCCGGTGTCCGGTACCCACATTGGGGCCCGACTAAATCCGGATTTGCGCCGAAGTCTCACATTGGGGGGTAAAGCGCTCCCTAAAAAAAGCGATTCCATACCCAGGGGCTCGAACCCGAGACCTCTGGTTAAGCATGAAGGAATACTTATCACTCCACCACAACCCTGTTGGTAAAACTACAAGATGTCTACTAATGGATTACTTGTGCGTTGCAACTAAAACAAGTGGTTTACATTCCAGTGATACCAACAAATAAAATAATAATAAAGAAAAATAATGCATCCATAAAAGATTCAAGCAAGAGGAAAATTGGCTCACAGAAACCTGAGCAAAGATCACCAACTTTCATGAGAAGAATGATCCAATGGAATTTCTTTAAAAGTTAAAATAGGAAAAAAGACAGCAAACTGACAAGAAGATGATAATATTATTCTTGCATCAAATCAATTAGAGAAGTTTCTTCTATCTGGCCAACTGAAGTACTGCCGTTGAATTTGATACAAATAAAAATGGAAATTTGGTCATCTTGATTAGATGATCAAATGAGAGACTCAATTCTTTGACTTGGCAATTAGATAAGTTTTGGCAGATTTGATAACAGTCTGCAGTGGCTCAACCATGGTAAATGCATGGTTTGCAAGCTTCACATCTTCCACTTCATAACTCACTGTAAATTTTGTAACACATGACTTTTCATCTTTCTCAATCACCTCAAACCTAATTCCGTAAAATACATAGCCAAGATCAACATATCCACCTTCAATCACCTCAGACTGCTTGTATCTTTTCTCATCATCCACTATGTTGAGTCTCTCCTTGAAATAGGGTATTCCTGGTGTACCTATGTAAAACAACAACAACACCACAATCAATATAATTTGAGTTTAAGGTTGAAACTTTTCGTAAAGAAACTTCGAAATGGGAGGGCGATCCTCTTAGTGAACTTGATCGTACCCTAAACCAACACATGTGAACATGTAGAGTATACTAAGGTGCTTGAGAGAATCATGTCGAGTTAAGTATGGTACCTAGTAATTTACAACCACCACTCTATCTAGCGAAGGTAATTTGGTTTAAAAAAGGGGGAGCCCGGCGCATTAAGCTCCCGCTATGTACGGGGTCCGGAGAAAGGCCGGACCACAAGAGTCTATAATAGGCAGCGTTACCCTGCATTTCTGCAAGAGACTGTTTCTACGGTTCGAACACGTGATCTCCTGGTCACATGGCAGCGACTGTACCAATTACGCCAAGGCTCCCTTCAGCCAAGGGAATTTGGTATCCGCATTTTTTTTTCCGAGCTTGTACCTTATCTTGAAAGTTGAGTTTCTTTATATGAACTAAAGGGCAGCGCGATGCACAAAATATCCCGCGTTCACGCAGGGTTCGGGGAAGGGCCACACCCTAAGGGGTGTGATATTGACAGTCTAACCTAATGCTAGCATTAGTTTCTATATTTACATAGAGACAAGTAGAAGTAGAAAGTATGTAAGTATCACATTAAAGTAGGGAAACTATATCCCAAACCATAGGATGGTTTTAATTTTACCTTGAGGAAAAGTGATTTTGAGTACAGTTCCAGTACTACCATCACCTTCAATAACATCAACTTTGTCAAGAACATTAGGCAACTCTTGCACAATAAACCTAGATAGATGTAACGTGCCATAGAGTTCCCATGCTACATTTGCAGGCACATTCACCTCTATTTCGTCCGAAATCGTCCCCTTCATCCTCTAACGGCAGTGATAATGGCGGAGCAGAGAAGCGATGGCGGTGCAGAATTTCTTAGTAAGAAAATAGTTCGTAAAAAGATGTTATATATGAACTTGTTGTTATGTTAGTTCTAGTTCTTATAATGGTATTTATAGTGGAACATTTAGGTAGAGATAGCTAGTACTTATTTGTCATGAGGATTTTTGAAGTCTAAGTGAAATTTACATAGAAAACTGTCAATGGCTGCATTTGCACGAGTTTGAATTTGAGCACAAAACGTTGAGAGGAAAGGGAAATAAATTGCAAGAGTGTCCAATAATCCCATCTTGGCTGCTGGAAAATATGCAAGTATAAAGTTGGCTGTGACACATAGTAAAGGTAAATTGCAAAAATTCCGTCTTGGCTGCTAGAATATAAGAACAAAAATGGGCAAGAATTTACGCTGGGTGTCGTCCAAATTTTATTTTGGGAAAATGACACTGTATAGCCGCTTTCAAAATAATAGCCGAAAAATGTATAAAAAATTATACATATTTGATCTAAGACTCAAATCTTTCTATTGTTGTCTTGGATCCACAATTAATCCTACGGATCCTTAGGATTGGTATATTCTTTTCTATCCTGTAGTTTGTAGTTTTCATCTATCTATTTTCTTTAGTTATTTACTAGAGCAATTATGATCTGGAAGTCGATCCGGGGCAAGTGTTCGGATCTATTATGACATAGCCTTGAGGCGCTCAACGGACCTTTTAACCTTCTAAAAACCTTTTTGGGCTTTGGATTGATCCAAAAACGACTTTTTTTCGGCTACCGAATGTAAATAGTTTCTGGCGCGAGCTAAAAGTGATAATACCCTTTAATTTTCGCGTGGCTAGTTCTTCCGTCCCAAATTATATGTCAAATTTCGTTTTTTGAGATTCAGACTATTTGAATTTTGATCAATATTTCTAAATGTATTTTTTCGTCATATTAACATGAGAAGAATTGCAATTTATAGTATTTTTCTGATGAATTTTTAATATTTAAATTTTAATTAAAAAATTGAGTTGATCTAAATTAATTTAGCTTCAAAAAATTGACTCATGAAAATTAATAGTGACATATTTGGAATAGAGGTAGTATTTCTCAATTATTTTCAAACGGTGGCTAAATATTAACAAGCGGTCAAAAAACTTGTGAGAGGCTATTTTTACACTAGAATTAGATCACGTGGCTTCCAATGCTGTAGTTGATGGGTGAAGCGAGACTTCTCTTAGTCAACAATGGGGGTGGAAAACGAGGGGGTTAGGTCAGATATGGGCGAGTCGAAAACGAGTAATGTAAAACGGATAAATTATTCAATCCGGCCAATATTTAATACGGATAAAAAATGAATTAACCAACGGATAATATGTATATCCATATTATCCATGGCTTCTTGAATATGATCACTTTTGGTAGAATTCTTAGTCTCCCAAATTTGAGAAATTCCCGTTAAACACTCGGTTTATCCATTTTTTAAGTGGATAATATGGTTCTTATCCATATTTAATCTATTTTTAAAAAGTTCATTATCCAACCCATTTTTAGTAGATCATATGAACCGATAACTGTTTTTTTTTTATCCATTTTGCCATCACTTTCTGAAAGGATATGAACTTGTTAAACGTTATTTTAGTTTTTTTTAATCATGATTTAATTGTTGATTATTCATTATTTCAAAGTGAGGCAGCGCCTTTTGTGTTGATGGGTTTTTAGGTCAAAAAATTCTACGAAAAAGTCATGTCAATGGCTGCTGAGGAATCTAAAGACAAAAAATTAACGTGGAAAGGAAAATTGCACATTAAAAGAATCGGAGCTATTTGCATTTTCCCCCTTTACTAAATTAGTGATTCATTTCTAGTTAGCTTATGGTTTATAATTGTCCGAGCTAAAATCTTTTACATGCATAAATACCTGCAGGGCCATACATAGCTACAGGGCTTGTGTATTGTTGTTACATATCGTTTCATAATGTATCGTATTGTATTGTATTGTACTGTACTGTATCGTTTGATGAATACAATATTTGGATGAATTGTGCTGTTTTGCCATCGTTTCATAGTATCACGCACCAGTAATATAATGAATAAACTTACAATATTGTAAAAAAATATTATGATACGGTATATAAAAAGGTAGGGTAAATGATAAAATAAAATTATTTAATAATAACGAAGGGTAAGATTGAGAGAAAAGACAAGGTAACGACGCGACCACACCAAATTGGTGGCACATTTCATCGTTACGTAACGAAGGATTTAACGATACGATATAATAAAATTTAAGTAACAATCAAAACAAACATTGTATTTAAAGTAACAATACGATACAATACAATACAATAGGTAACAACCATCCAAACAAGCTGTGGAATATAATATAGGGACCATATGTTTCTGTTTCCTTTTTATTTTTTTAAAAGAATGAATATAACAGGTCGCATGAAAGAATTAATTTAAGTGGATGCGAGAATTTTTTTCAAAGTCGATAAGATTGTTTAAGTTTTCTTTGACACAAGATGAATTTAATAGCTATGTTGATATTGTCACATTGAGATGAACCAGTAGGGCATATGATAATTGGAACTTTACATAAATTGCCAGTTAAATTTATTGTTTATTTTTTTTTATAACAAATATACATAAAACTATACAGTGATATTTTTTTTATATATATATATATATATATATATATATATATATATATATATATATATATATATATATATATATACCTTCACCATCTATTTAAGTTTAAGCGCTTGAGTAGATGATTATTTGAGTTAATTCTTTCTTAACAAATGAATAAGTAACGTCGAAAACGATATGGAAAACGATGTAGATAACAACAAGGCGTTTGTAGTCCAACGGTTAGGATAATTGCCTTCCAAGCAATAGACCCGGGTTCGACTCCCGGCAGACGCAATTTTTTTATGTAACTTTTTTATTTGTTGATCGTTATACAGAAACAATACAAATACTTTGGCATTGAAGATACTACTAGAACTATATAAAGATGAACCATTAAGTTTAGCGTAACTAATACAATGCTTACAGCTGTGTGGTTGATAAATCAGTGACTTGGGGAGGATTTGCAAAACAGCATTCTCTCGAAGTTTCAATAAAAGGCCTTCAAAAAACTGAAATTTCATACACATCAAGTAGTTTTTCTGAAATTGGCGTTTGGAGCAACGGTAAAGTTCCAATAAAAGGCCTTCAAAAACTGAAATTTCATACACATCAAGTAGTATTTTTGAAAGTGGCCTTTGGAGCAACGGTAAAGTTATTTTCGTGATGGCTCATAGGTCATGGGTTTATCATTATTTTCGTTTGACCTATAGGTCATGAGCTCGAGCTGTGAAAGCAATCATTAATACTACATCACACCCCTAGAGTGTGTCCCTTCTACGTAAATAAGGAATGCCTTGCGCACCAAGCTGCTCCTTTTTTTTTTTGGTTAAACGTTTAAACTTTATTAACCAAGAAAAATATTTACAGCACCTCTAACTCTTTTGGACTAAAGAGCTAGACTCAAAAAAAAACATCAAAAGAAAACACTATCTCACTAAACCATTTACAAACTTTATGTTTCCTCTACTAGGATCATAGAGGAAAACTGTTAACTTTTTGTAAGTATTGCTTCCATTTAATTCTCTGCTGTCCGCTGATGTGCAATTGTAGGACAATTTCTCGTATTATCTTCTTCCATTTAGTCTCCTTTCCTTGGAATCTACGCATGTTCCTTTCTATCCAAGTATGATATATCAGTGCTGCAAACAAGAATGCCAAGATACTGCCATGGGCATGATTGTTCTTTGTTCTTGCACTCAACCATTTGACTTCTTCTTCCCATGATCCAATCTGGTGTTTCTCTCCTATCCACTGAAGTAGACTGTCCCATATGCTTCTTGAATAGTTGCAATCAAAGTACAGATGATTCATGTCCTCAATTGTCCCAGTTTTGCACAGCACACAGCCATGATCCACCTGTATACCCCAGGCTACTAATCTATCTACAGTAGTAAGTCTGTGATTTAGAGTTAGCCAAAGAATAAAATTGTGCCTGGGTACATTTGTACCCAACACTACAACTTTCCACTCTACCTTTGGATACTGAGGTCTTGATATAGTATATAACTTCTGAATACTAAACTTTCCCCCTCTGCAGAACCTATTTATGTTTGCAAATGATTCAACGTTCATGTACCAGCTTCTTACATCAAATATCTTCCTCAAGAGCCAACAGGCTTGACTTGGGGTATGCATACTGTTGAACTCCTTCCTCTTTATGTATATTGAATGAATCCATTTGATCCAAAGGGCATCCTTCTTTAAGTGTACTGCCCACATCAGTTTGCACAGTGCTGCTTTATTCCACCATTCAAAATTTATGACATTCAGTTCTCCAGCTGATGTGGGCATACATATTCTGTCCCAGGAAACTAAAGCTTTCTTTGAGGGACAATAGCTTCCTGTCCATAGAAAGACTCTGCAGACTGAGTTCACTAGCTGAATTATTTTCTTAGGCATCAGGAATACCTGCCCCCAGTATGTTTGCATTTCAAATACCACACTCTTTATCAGTTGTAGTCTTCCACTATATGATAGTAGCTTTGATGTCCAGCACTTTATTCTATTTGTGATCTTCTCTACTAGTGGCATACACTGCTGCACTGATAGCTTCCCTCCCAAGTATTTGAATGGCAAGGACTCCAGCTTGAATTGGAATTCTGAGAGTACCATCTCCTTGAATCTCTGATTGACTCCAGCTACATAGATAGAACTTTTATCTAGATTAGCCATGAGCCCTGTCACCTTTGAGAAATGATTGAACTTGTCCAGCAACAATTGAAGTGAGATCTTGTCAGCCCTGCAACACATAATAAGATCATCTGCAAAACAGATGTGAGTAAGATTCATTTTTGCACACCTTGGGTGAAAATTGAAATCAGGGATATCCTTTAGGTTCTTCAAAGTTCTGCTCAAATATTCCATTACCAAAACAAACAAGTATGGTGACATAGGATCCCCTTGTCTCAATCCCTTCTTTGCTTGAAATCTTTTAGTAAGGCCCCCATTAATCAGTATGGAATAGTTTGCATTTGTGAC